TCTCTCCGGCCCCGCGTGTGAGACCCGGTGTCTCTCCGGCCCCGCGTGTGAGACCCGGTGTGCCTGTGTCCCCTCAGAGACCACCCAGCTGGAGGACCCGCGGGCTCAGTGGCAGTGGGAGCAGGAGAACATGCTGCGCGAGTACCTGGAAGTGGCCCAGGACGCTCTGAACGCGCAGAGGGAGATCTACCAGGTCAAGGAGCAGCGGCTGAAACTGGCCCAGCAAGAGTACCGGCAGCTCAACGAAGTCTGGAAGGACAAGTCCACGTCTCGGACGAGCTGTGAGTGAGGAGACGCCGAGGGAGGCCAGTGAGCCGCAGCAGGGTCAAGAGAGCTGCGTGCTGCGTGCTCCCACAGCTCTTTTAAAAAGACTGTGATCCTCTTCTTCTTTATAGGCCATGAAAACTGATGATATTTTCTGTGTTTTTTTTTTTAAAAACAAAAGGCGAATCTGTCAGAATATCATTCTGGGAAAAATCCAGAGCTGTGAAGGTCTGTTTCTGGTCTTTCTCTTCAATTTGACCTTCAGTACCGGACAGGCTATTCAGAGGCGTTTATTATAAGATTGAAAGACATTTTTCTAGAAAAAAAGAGTAGAGTTATATAACTTTTTTTTAACACATGACTTTATTTCTGTAGCAGGCCGTTGTAGACATTCTGCAGAATGCGAAGTGAAAAGGATTTGCTCTTTCTTTCAGTGAATTCAGGATCCTCCTCCAGCAGTAAATACGACCCAGAGATTCTCAAAGCAGAAATTGTGACTGCCAAAAGCAGGGTAAGGACCGCAGGCTTGTCTTCCCTTGAGCAGTGACTCTGTTATAAGAACGATTTCCTTTTTTCTTAGGCACTTTAAAATCCAATAAATATAAAATTTTACTTTTAAATCTATAAAGCTGTAAACTCAAAGGTCTTTGGTCTGTAAGTCAACCGAGCACTTATTAAAATAGTTAGATTTGGTTGGATTATTTGGGGCTTGTTTGTGATGTTTAGTTAAATATTTAGTATATTAAATATATTATGATGTTAAATATTAATAAGACCTTTTCGGGCTAAGAGGTTGCTACGTAACTGTTTACTCCAGCCTTGTAAAGAAGTATTTAAGATGTCTGTAAGAATAATCCACATTGTTTGGTTTGGGCTGTGCTTTTTGGATTGTGTAGAAAAAGTGTTAATAAACAGGCTCCTGACAGTTGTTAATTCTTCAGCATCACTTTTTCACTTTTGAAGATTTAGATGCTCTTAATGTATGAGTGGCTAAGTACAGTTTATAGTTTAGAATTAGTCGAGCTGTTGACACAGCATTGATTGATCGTCTTCCGTCTGCTTTCGTTTCCTTATTTTAATTTTGTTTTTAAATCTAGACAATGGCCACGCAGACGTCTATGCTTTTCACTTTTGCTGTTTTCTCTGCATCGTTCAATTCTCCCCTTTTCACCAGGTTAACAAGCTCAAGAGAGACCTGGCGCACATGAGGCAGGAGCTGCAGTATAAAGAGCAGGGCTACGAAACGCTGAAGGAGTGAGTCATGCCCATTCCCTTATTATCTGCTGCTTGGCTTTTGACTTGAATGAGACCGACGCGATCGGTGGGGACCTCAGAATTTCAGCTCGCTCTTGCTTTCAGCAGATGAAATGAATCTAAAGTGGAGAGTAGGTGTGGACTCCTGAGTGCATTTCTGAGCAAATGTCATGACCAAGTTAAATATTGAACTTCATCATAAACGGCTTCTCCTCCGCCCCTCAAGAGTATCCCAGGCTTGTCTGTAATCCTCAAGAGTCGTGTTCCGACGAGAAGACACTCCAATGAGCCATACAAGGGGAAGTCGACCTGTCCTGGCGACCTGTCCCTGAAAGTACGGAAGATTCCGTTAGAGATGAAAGCAACCGTTCTCATGCTGCAGGACAACAATCGGCCTTTCAGAGGATCAGCTGAATTCCCCCTGGTTCTTAGCGGGATCTGTCTCCTTTGTCCTTGGTTGAGAATGTGGACAAACCTGTTGCTCCACTGTATGCGTGACTTGCCGGTTATGACTCACTTTACATATTTGCTTCTGGAAATGGCCAGGCCATTATGTAAAGAGCCATCTCTCAGCGTTTCTCCTTTTCTCAGAGCTGTAGCAATCCCAGCCACCAACCCGCTCTTGCCCGTTTCCCCTCAGAATCGACCAGAAGGTGTCCCAGGCGCCCTGCGGGTACAAGCTGCACGAAGCGCAGGCCATCCTGAACGAGGTGAAGTCAATCAAAGATGCCATCAGCCTGGGGGAGAAGGAGAAGAAGGAGCTCATGCAGGTAATGCAGGAGAGGGGGATAGTGGGAGTTTGCTGTGCTCCTCTGCCCCTGGCCCTGGGTCCTTCTCTGCCCCCGCCAGACCCACCCTGGCCTGCCAGTGCCTTCACACTCCCGCCCCTCTTGTCCCAGTTGCTGGTTCCTGGTGCGCCCTCTCCTCCTGTTGGGTCATCTGGGCAGGGTTTCATGTCTCTGCCATTGCTCCCCTAGAGCCTGGGACTCTCTCTGGTAGGACACGAGGCTGTTACAGCCGTGAGAGGCTCTTTTAAAATAAAACCGTGCCTTTTAGAGGATTTTCATAATGGATTTCTGTGTTAGGTCTTTTATTTGTATTTTTGCCAGTGAAGTGTTTTACGCCGATTATTATTTTTTTAAGAGCATTAGGATATCATTTCCAAATGGATTGCACTTTATAAATAAAACGGTAATCCGTTGACCTTTAGTTCGGCTTGTAGTGTATTTGACTGTAGCATTAGTTTGATTTGGGGTCTTTCAGATACTGCTGTTTGTGTCTGCTCCGTTGTGCGACCAGTGTTTGCCTTGCAGGTTATATTGTTACTGAGGCTGCTCAAGTTAATTCAGCAGGGCCTTGTGGCTTAAGAAAGGAAGAATGAAGGTGCCCTTGATTGGCCATGTGGTTATTATGGTTAACTAGAGATGGATTAAGAAGTGAGCTTTCTTGTGGAAGAAATGAATTTTCAAGTTATGGTGAGAATACGCAATGACAACGGGATTCAGCAGGGATTAGGTTTCTAAAGGCACTGCTGCAGATGGAAATTGGGTAGGATAGTTATGATTCACAATCAACAAAGCCTTGGGCTGCAAATCTTAGGAAGCCAAAAGTTTAAAACATTTTTTTTTAAGTGTTTTAATTTACCTTGTGCTAATAAGTGCCCCTTTGCAGGAAATATGGTTAATGGGGTTGTTTCTTGCATCTGTAGCACATGCTACTGTTCTCTTCTGGTTTCAGATGAGATTTGATCAGTGCTGTTCCTACCTGAAGTGTGGAATGGTGTGACAGACCATTAAGTTCTTAGCAGTTTAATGCTTCATTGTGAAACAGAGGTGGAAAGATAAGAAATTGGCTTTGCATAGCTATTTTTAGCTGCCTTAGGAGAGAAAAATTGGTTGTTTTATAGGAAGTGTTTGCAGATGTTAAAGCTCATTACAAATCGCTAAGTGGAATGGGATCAGTTGCCTCTTAGAGGTGTGTTTTTAAATATTTGCTAAAGCATTATTCAGCACATAGTTTGCTGATAGGCTAAACAAATTCGGCGCTCATACTGTCTCAATACATTATATTATTAGCAGTTTCTTCAAATGCAATGACTTTTGCATGCTGTAGTATTCATTGAACTCTGGGTGATCTGTGTATCTTTCTGTGTACCTGTGTATCTTTCTGAAAAAAAATTCTGCAGGTTCAAGGTACAGTATTTTTCTTCTCTTTTCAGCATGGGATAAACCTTTACTTGTTCCTTTGCAGCCTGCGCATGCTGATGCAGCTACTTGTTTTTTTTATGGTTGGTCTTTCCTAGTGCAAAGAGGTGGTGGTGGCTGAGGTAGATATAGCTTGCTTCTCAGTTTCAGCATGTCACTTTTTGTGATACTAACTGGTTTGGTTATTGTTCCAGAAACTTGCCATCCTGAAAGATGGATTTCGATTGACTTCTGGGTCGCAGAGTGACCTCTGGGACAGTACTTCCTCGCTAGCGGACTCCAGCCTCTCCATCCCCCACCTCTACTCCGACGCAGAGTCGCAGACTGACCTTCCGGGAGACGTGAGTGCTTCTTAAGTGATAATGATCGCATGAAAAAGAACTGCGTTAACCAATATCGTCCGTATGGGAATCTGTCTTGCACATCAAAAAACCCATAAACATATCACATATACGACAATAATACAATACGACAATACAATCCCACAACACAAACAACATTCTCTGACGTTGCTCAATCATAACTTTACCAGTGCCGGATGGGTTAAAAGTCACATGCCTTTACTCAGACTATGACAGACCAATTCTTCGACAGTCTTCAAATCCAAACTAAAAACTCCCCTTTTGCCTGTGTCTAATTGCCATACATTATATCTGTATACACATGTAAGTTCTTGTTTTCTTTTACTTTTGACACCATCCTTGGGATTGGAACGATGCTTTAAAAATAATGTGATATTATTATATTATTAAAAACAGCAACAAAAACAACAATCATAAGATCCTACTTGCAAACAATGTTTTTCATTATTCAGCAATTGAATGCTTTTAGGTATAAAAGAAGTCGATGCTCTTTTAGTCTTTATACAGGGGATCAGATACCTCTTCCCAGAGAGTAGGAGGCTATTCTCAAAAAAGAGTGAATGAGAGGGGTCATCTAAGGTTTTAAGCACGTACGTAGGCAAGTACTGTACATACTTAAGAATGTAACTACCTATGTTAGTACCTGCGTACATAAGTAAGTCACACTATATGTAATTACATAACTAAGTACATAAAAACAGTACGTACACAATTAAGATTAATGAGATTATAATAATGATCTAAGATAATAATTAATAAGAGCACTCCTTTTTCTCCTGGGAACATCCCTGGTGTGGCGATTCTGGTGTCCCGAGAGTGTGTCTTAAGGTCCACTACTGCCCCGTGTAGCATCCAGACAGAACTCAGCGTTCGAGTTCCACACATCTGACAGCTCACATCCCAATTCCACATCTCACAGGAAATGGGTCACACTTGTTCTAGAAACGGGCGGTTTTGTTTGTGTCTTCTTTTGCAGCTGGCATTGAGCAGCAACAATAAACTAGCTGAAAAGGTCCGGTTGAGCCTGAAGTACGAGGAGGCCAAGAGAAGGTAAAGGATTGCCACGACAGACCCGTTCCCTACTGCATCTTCAGATTTTAAAGTTGGAGTACAGGCTCTTCTGGCTAACGTGTAATTGAATAAAACACAGGCACCTCCACTTTAAATGCACAGATTCGTTCTTTGGCTTTTTCAGTTGGTCAGCAGGATTCCATTCCAGCTGGATCCTTAATGACTGAGATCTGCGTTTGTTTAGTGTTGCGCTGCTGATCATTTTAAGGTGCATTTAAAACTGTGAAAGACTGTGGTTGCCTAGAATTGGAAGTTTTCCTGCCCCTCAGAGCCTTATTTCTCAGTGATTAAATGCTTCTCTAGAATGGCTTTATTTTTTGTTTAATTCACTGCACCTCGCGTATCTCACACAAGAAGACACTTGGAAAAGCCTGTGTCATTATGCGGCTTGGTCATCCATTACCGGTCCTTGATTGCTGATCACAGCGAATGTCAGGTGTTGATGAATTGGATTTCCCTTGCTGGGGAGCAGTCCCAAGTTAGAACCTGTGCTGAGCAGCGACGCTCGATCAGCTTGAGGAAAGCGGACCTCTGCAGACAAGCTGTTACAGAAACAGTTTTCTCAAGCATGTACTTGCAGTACTTGTCATTCGTGGGGAACCTTTCTTTTAACGTTACTTATTGCCGGTATAATTCACTGACGAGATAACAGTGTTTAGAGGAATGATTCCTCAGTTCTGTGAAAAGTGCGTTGGGATGTAAATTGGCAGGGGAATGCGGAATGGGTCTCACCTTTTGAGCCTTTTTTGTGGGGATTTTAGGATCGCCAACATTGAGGTTCAGATCGCCAAGCTGGACAGCGAGGCGTGGCCCGGGCTGCTGGACCCAGAGAGGGACCGCCTCATCCTGATCAGCGAGAAAGAGGAGCTCCTGAAGGAGCTGCAGTACGTCCGCCCTCGGAGGCGCGAGCCCGACGATGTGGCGAAGATCGAAACGGAAAAGAAGCGGCTGGAGAGGGACCTCCAGGCTGCCCGTGACAACCAGAGCAAAGCTCTCACCGAGAGGTGGGTACTTTCCCAGGAGATGTCCGCGCTGCTGTGGCTTGCAGGGTAGTTAGGTGACGGGGGGGCCAATTGGCCCGTCTCGCAAGTTTCATTGTTAGTAGGTAGCTGATCCATGAATCTCATCCAGCCGCTGCTTGAGAGAAGTCAGGGCTTCACCAGCATGCCATGGTAGCCTGCTCCATACTCCCGCAACTCTTTGTGCAATGAAGTGCTTCCTTTTCCCAATTTGAAATGCTCTTTCCCTTCGTTCCCACCCGTGTCCTTAGGAAAACGCTGAGGACACTGAGCATCATTGTCTATCTGAGCTCGGTTGACTTCTTCCAGTTGTGTGAATTTAATAGGTGGGCACTTATCTGCTGCAACAACCGTTATGTCCTGGTTTTTATTCGGAACATGGCAAATCATTATATTCTTAGGGTGGAAGATCTCAGGATCTATAAACTTAAGGCACTGAGACAAACGCTTGTTTGTCTCTGACTCCCCTCCTCGAACTATGCCTTTATTCATAGAAGTCATCTGATTCCATTTATCTCGGATAACTCAGTGAAATAGCCTGCATGGTTAATAAGCCGTGGATTTAAAGCCTGTTGGTTAAATTTTCCTGAACGCATTTGTTTAATGCAGAAAACCTCACTTGCTTCGTCCTGTAAAAGATACATGTTCTATGAAATACGACGCACTTGTCATCCGAAAGAAAGGTTGTGAGACAGAAACGTTCTCTCGCGATGGTCATGGAAGAATGATCATTGTTGTATATGTGATTGTGCAAATGTATAATTACTTTACCTTTTCCAGACAGAGCAATTTCAGGTGCACTCTCTTTACAAACATCCTTAGCGTGGACACCTGCTCAGATAGCTCAGGTTACTGGAGCAAGAATAGCAATCGGGCCCAGTCTTTGTAGTGCGCCTTCCCCTGTCTGAAAGCAGACAGAAGCCTTGCTGGGGTACGCTCGATACTGTGCTTCCTGTAATCCGACCGGGAGAAGCTGGGAAGAGGGATGGATGCCTTTTTTGCTTTTAAAACACTACAGTTTCCAAACGGTCTAACTACAAATATATTGCGAGGTTGCTCAAGAGGAGCAGTATGCATTGTTTCATGTTGATCACCCAAAAGAGGATCAGGTTTGTTATTTTAAATATAATTTTTTTTTTAATTTGTAACCTGTAACATTGCCATGTGCTGTTGCTCAGGTTGTTTTAATTGCTTGTTCTGGTTCTAAGTTTCATGCGTAATAACTGGATTTTCAGGAACACGGGGATAGTGATGGTGCTCAGAAAGTGTTGCCGGTTTTAAATAAAGCACCCTCTTATATTCGGAAGAGCAGCCGTGACATACAGAGAAACGGACAAAGATATTTAACAAAACTGCACCCTAACACTATACAGGCCCTGATGCAGGGAACTAGACTGTTTAAAAGTTTCTTCTTTTAGAAAGGAGTCGGGGAGCTCATTTTAAAATGCATGACATGGCATCTTGTTGATTTCAGGCTGAAGCTGCACAGCAGAAGGAATAAACTGGTGAAGGAACTTGAAGAAACTGCACGACTTGCATCTTCACTCCATTCACAGCTAAAGAGGTAAAGCCAACTGACTGCATTGATAAATGATTCATTAAAGTCTGGTGTTTAATAGCTGACATTCCTTGACATTGTTATCAGGTGCATAGAGTGTCCCTGCAGATGTGTCAAGGTGTCTGTCTTTGTTTTGTACGTTTGTTTTGATCTTTGTCTTGAGAGCAGTACCTCTGAGCAGTCTAGGGCCTGCTGAGAGAGCTGGAGAAGGCTCTTTGTGGGCTTCCATTTATTCCAGAAGATGAAAGCAAAGTCCCTGGAAGGTTTTTCTATTATCCTCTGCCAAAAGGTTTGAGTCCCCTAATAGAAGCTGTCAGTAGTATTTTTTAACACAGCTTTTTTTCTTCAAAGCTGCCTCAACAATTTCTAATTCATTGCCCAGCAGCTCGATCAGTTTTTGATCTCTTGGTTCAGAGCTTTGGGTCCCAGCATTACTGTGCTGGGACAGAGCAACTTCAAACCAAAAACAGAATATATTTTTTGCACATTTCCTAACAGAATTTTGATATTTTTTTATTACTGCACAGATTTGCTCATTGATGCTGGAAATATTGAAGTGTACTTCAATATTTCAAGAGTTGTAGGATTGTAATTTATTACTCCATTTCTGGAGTAGAGTTTGCAGTCATTTTGTGTTGATCTATACATATAAATGTACTGTATATTCTTAGTTTAACAAGATACATTCTCTTAGAGAATGTAATTTAAGTTATTAGTTATAAAGGAATAAATAGCACTTTGGTATTGTTGTAAATGTGGAATTTTTATTATGGTCTGATTTAAATATTTAAATGGTACACAATTTTGAAGCTTGGTATTATGTAAAAATAAGGGTTTTCTTCATGTTATAGTTATTCTGTTTTTACCAGTTCAACCGCATGCTGTGATTAATATCAGAGCATTTAAATGAAATGTTGAACTAACTCCCTAATGTGCTTATTAATTTAGGGCCAACTTTAATTATCTGATTTGCTTCTCAAAAGGTGAGGAAGGGAAAACATGGAATAGTTTTTACACGTTTGCCTGCCATCTTTTGAAAGAGATGAGGAAAAAGGAAAAACTTGAAATAGAGTGTTTGCATTTTTTCACTATATTGTTAAAATAAGAGTGCGACTTACCACAGACTGAATTAGGACTGGGGTCTTGAGATTTAAGGTATTTAGTGTCCCTGCCTCAGTTCTAGGTAACCAGTTTTATTCTGGGGAAGATGAACTTTCTGTGTGGAGTTTGCATGTTCACGTGGATTACTGAATATCCCACCCAATTAATCTGCCCCATCAAGAGTGCCACTGCTATTAAGCAGCTCGAAAGACACATCTTCTGGGCGGTGTGGTGGCTCTGTGGCTCAGGATCTGGTTGCCGGTTGCCGGTTTGTATCCCGCGGCCAGCAGAGGAATCCTACTCCGTCGGGCCCCTGAGCAAGGCCCTTCACCCCAACTGCTCCAGCGGCGCTGTATAAATGGCTGACCCTGCGCTCTGACCCCCAGCTTCTCTCCCTGTCTGTGTGTCTCATGGAGAACAGGTTAGGGGTCTGCAAAAAGACAAATTCCTAATACAAGAAACTGTATATGGCCAATAAAGTGATCTGATCTTCGGCTAAAGAAGATGATGAATATGATTACATTCATTAACAGCATTTCACACAGGAGTGTTTTATCGATCTATCGATCACTCAGTTTTTTTTGGATATCAGTCGGAGCATTCTCAAGGCACTTTACATAAATTATGGAAAAAAGTACAGGAGCAAGAAAAGAATAATTAAAAATGTACAAATTATAGAATAAAAAGAAAAGAACTATGTTTGGGGTTGAAAGCCATTTTAGGTGCATTTCTAGTTGTTTTAAGCTTTAAACAGAATGATTAAGGGTTGCTTAGATATGATGCTTAGGTATGATGTTGCCAGAACTAAAGCTTGAAAGTAAAGTCCAGTGAGCAGTGTAGATGTCTGTAAGTTTGCTATGGCTGAAGGAGGTTTGTGTAAATTCCTGTTGTGTGTTAGGATTAGGAGTTCCTGCTGACGTTTAGAAAAAATGTGACGTTATTCCACCACAAAACCTTGCCAAACTGGAATGGTAGCAATAACCAACTACACGCCGATTGTTTTCTTAACTTGGCCACTGAGCTGGCCATTTAGACCAGCTTTTCGCTGTGGATTCTGTGAAATTACTGTGTGGCTGCCGCAAACCCTTGTTCTTGCCAAGGGGCGAGAGCGATCGTTTTAGAGAATTGCGAGGCGAAATTGGCCCTTCCTGCTCACAAGTCTCTGTGATGGCTGATGTAATGAGATGTGCGAGCGAATACGTACCAAAACCATCTCGAAGCAGAGAGCAGCTATTTTTGGATTGAATTTCACAAGCCTGCTTGTTTACAGTGTCATAGGGCCACTTCACTTTGCCTCGTTCTGAATCTCAGAACATGGTGCTGGGCGTTTTGTCTGTTTTGTGATGTAAACTGGAGATTTACATCACTTACGGTGTACATTGTACGATCATTGCGGTTTGAAATGCACTCATCAGCGGCGATTCCTTCTCACCCCACATACGTAGAAATAGCGTTGCAGCTCCCCTTTAAATCAAATCATTTGATCATTTCAGCAAGGAACTTGTTCAGTTAAGTCCTAAGAGTTTTCGAAGGTTTCATTTTCTCAGTCTCGGTGATCCCGAAACGGCTCGATTGAACAGCCCACCTGCTTCATTGACCCGCTTTGGGCCTGCCACACCGGGGGGCTCGCCGCCTCAGGCCCGGCCGGGTCGTGGCCCACACTGTCCCGCTGCCCTTGTCTTGCAGCCTGTCGGCCAGCACTCTCTCCTGCTCGTCCGGCAGCAGCCGCGGCTCCCTGGCCTCCAGCCGCGGCTCGCTGGCCGCCTCCAGCCCGGGCTCGTCCTCCTCGCTCAGCTTCACCGACCTCTACGGTGACCCGCCGGAGCCGGGGGACCCCGACTTCCAGGGCAGGCTGGACTGCGTGCTGCAGGAGGGGGCCGCCGGCTTCCGCCCGTCCAGCTCCATCACCACCATCCACGAGAACGAGGTCATCCGGACCCCCGGCGCCGCCCCCGGCCCCCCGCGGGGGCAGGTCCCCAGGCTGTCCGAGACCCCCCGCTCCATGAGCTCCCTGTCGCCCAGGTCCTCCTTCTCCTCCCTGTCTCCTCCCTGCTCCCCGCTCCTCAGGGACCCCACGTTCCTGGGCGGGGAGGCGTTCCTGGGTCACGGCGGCGCTGGACTAGACCTGGAGCTGCAGGGCCGGCTGGCCGAGCTCCAGCTGGACGGCAGCGGGCAGCCCAGCGCCGAAGGCCAGCACGCCCCCCCGCCTCGCAGCGCGGCCCAGGAGCTTCACGCTACGCAGGGGAGCACGACTGCAGGCGCAGAGGCAGGAAGAGGTATGGATCAATACGCTCTGGTGTTTATCATTCGATATTTCCTCGCTCGTGTGCGATACATAGCAATTGTATCTCACACCTCTGCCCTAAGTTGGATTTTGAACAATGCAAAAAAAGATTGCAGACTTCCGTACTGATGCAGCTGTTAATTTCTGGCAATTCTGGTGTTAATCAATGCAGAATGCCTTTTCTGGATTTATGGATTTTTAATCAGTGCGAATACTTTGCTTCAGAATTCAGCATCCGATGTTCTGCAGTACAAAAGATTTGGTATTTTGCAACAATAAAACGTTAGCGATTTGATAGGTCCAGGATCAATCTGATTGGATTGATAACCAAAATGTACTCCTTCTCCTGCATCATACTCTGCTTGTAACCCCACATCCTTCTGCACACGTGTTTTAGAGGTATACTCGCTACCCTAACCAAAAACAGTTAATTAAAACAGTCCATTAATACAGTTCAGTTATTTTCAATCTGTGTCTTTTGCAAAGCTGAGGCAGAATTCTGAGTTAAATTCCTTTTTTCTTGGACACAAGGAACAGTGTTTTTCCATGAGTGACCGTTAATGCTCATTGATATTCACTCACACAGCACATCAGAAGCGAAGCCTCTGTCTTTTCATCTGTATAGGTCTTTTGATGTAAGACCCCAGAACACTATATTTTGTTTAAGTCACCTCCTAGGGTATAGAAACAAGCAGGAAGTTGGGGACTTGCTTTCGACTCTGTTGCACAGACAAGGTAACAGTAACATAGAAACTGGTATTTATCGCTGGAGGCAGCCGGTTGACTCCAGGAACGCTGTGTGTTTCTCCCAGATGGCAGCGCACCAGGCAGGGGCCCAGGCCCTGTGCTGAAAAGGCCGGGCGTCTCCTCAGCAGTGTCCGACGAGTCGGTAGCAGGAGACAGCGGAGTCTACGAGCCGTCCGAGCGAAGGTAGCTGGTGGCAATTTATCGGAGGGTGACTGTTGTTTTACTTATCGTGTGTTTCAAGGCCCTGATCCTGGAGGAAAGCTCTCTCCCTTTCGCCAGCGGTCTCGAACCCTGGACCTTGACAGCCCCAATTCACCATGAAATTGCCCATTTCTAAAGGCTTGGAATAATTTCATTGTTATTTATTAAATGTGTGAGCTGTTAAAATAGATCATTTGCGAATCATGTAGGTTCACAATGGTAGGGTGCATCAGCCCACAAAAAGATCTGGGTTCACTTAACTGAACAGGTCACTTTCTTATTGGAACAGTGGATCGCAAGTCTTCCCGATCTTTAGACGCAGATGACCTATAAGACTGGACTGAGGTCCTCTGGACCAGGGTTAGAGACCCCTGCTCCACATTATGGGGAACCAGGCTCAGCATTTTAAAAAGTCTGCTCTACAGAAGAGTTTGGAACTGTGAGACACTGCATTGTGCTCGAAGGAAACATGAATTATTGCAAAGGTCTACCAAACTGTTCTAGGGCACTGTGAGATATTCTAACATTATTATTATTATTATATTATTATATTACCACAATATTATTATCACAGTCAGTTGCTATTACGTCTCATCCTGGCATACATGCAAACAGAGTCCTTTTTTAAGGAGAAAACACAGAGCTATTCTTCGTATATTCTGGGTGCTGTTTCCCTTGCCTGTAAAGAAAAGAGTGAAACCAAGTTTGCTTTTCTCCAGACCTACAAGGCCAGCAGATGTGGTTTTAAATTCCGATGAAGGAGGATCCATAGGAACAGCTCAGATCCAACTGGGGATGAAGTACGACGCGAGAGAGAGACGATTTGCGGTATTCGTTGTGCAGCTTTGCAACGCATCTGTGCTGCCTTTACCCCTTGATGAGAAAATGTGAGTGCTGCGAACCTTTTGCTCAGATATTTGTTTTTCTTCAATGTTCACTTTCCTAGTCGGGAAATCTGCACCGAAATCAGATATTAATAAAGTCACCGTTTTGCTCCCCGGCAATGGCAGGAGTATCCCTTTCCGTTTTGTGCCATGTTTCACGATGTTGCAAGTCATACAGATTGTAATCATTCTGAGTTTCTCACTCTAATCGTCTCGGCGCCTACACCTCCTGGGGAGAAGGCTGACCCCAGAACTGTTTGCAGCCCCCGTAGGTCCCGGTCCAACCCGTCAGCACCTCTGTTCTTTTCAGATACGTGCGTGTGGCTGTGCTCCCCTGCCCCCAGACGACGAGCTGCCTCTTCCGAACGAGGGCCTCGATCCCGCAGGACAAGCTGGAGTTCAGCGAGGTGTTCGGGGTTTCTGTGTCACTCGGGGCTCTCCGGCAGAAGACGCTGCGGGTGGACGTGTGCTACATCAAGACGTCCGGCCGGGAGGAATGCTTGGTCAGTACCTCACAGCTGGAGGCTGTCTGAGGATTTCGCTTGTGTCCTCCCAGTGAGCAGCCACTGTCGTGGGGACTCTGGCAATGCAGACGGATCAGCTTCAGCTCGTGTCAGCTCGCTCATTCACAGTGTCTGGGAACGTTTCCTTTCCGAAGTAATCTATTGCAGTTACAAGTTACTTGAACGAGAGATTGTTTTTAAAAAAAGACATTTGGGGAAATTGGTAGTGTATTACTTTACATAATAAACCATACCCACTATGCAGATCACAGTAGGTGATGACTATTTAAGACCTCCTGTTAATTTTAAAAAGTAATCTGTTACTTGTAGTAACTTGTAATAATAACTCGTTTTTAGTAAATCATTTTCCACCAGCACTATATATAAGATTTTCCATATTGTTCGTTTTAGCACCTATTTTTAGAAATAGAGGAGGTTAGCCTCCTGAAAGGTTTATCACTTTCTGAGTTTGGTGTTTTCTTATAATAAAAAAGGGGGGAATCTGTGTTGATTTAACCCACCAGTCGGAGGTTTTCAAGTTTGTGCAAGAGAGGGCTAATTTATTAAAAGGCAGCTGGTGAAAGTATTTTGTAAGAAAGGGGCCAGATGGAATGCTTGTGATTTATGTTTCAGGACTGAAAAATTGAGAATGATCATTGATTGACTTCATGCGTTTAACCAGTGTCACCGAGCAGGACATGCTGTATGCAAGTGCACTAAAAACGCTCTGCTTGGCACGGAGCTGGTAGCACAATGCAATTAGCAGATCTATTGCTTGTCTTCCTTCATTGGTGCATATTGTTCGTGCAGTCAAGCCCTCTTCTCTGTAATGTATGGGACAGTGTCAACTTCTGGGGTGGAATAAGCTCCTGTTTTATAAAAGCAAAGCTCACAGAAAAGGCTTTCACGCATCTTTATTCCACGTTAATGCGTATTGTTTTGTTGCCGTCTCTGTGGAAAGGCTGGCGCTCAGATTAGCCTTGCAGAAGTGAGCAGCTCTGGGGAAGGATCGACCCAGTGGTACAACCTGCTCAACAACAAGTGCCTGGCAGAGGCTGGCACAGAGCACAGAGGAGCAGAGGACTCCCCAAGACGTGCCGAGGTACGACAGCTGACTTTCCTGCGCTGGTTTCTCTGTTTAAAGATCGTGTTCTCCATCTTGCCTGCAGGCAGATTGCCGGTACACTTTCCTGCGAGCTGTTTTACTAAGGAGTAGGCGGCTTGCCTGTGGGGAAAGACACTGGCCCCTGTCTCCCCACCTCCCACTGCAAAAAGATAAATGTCATTACTGGCCTTATTGTTTCCCTGTGTGTCTGCATACCCTGTGTTACTTCAGCAAAGTTTTTTTGTGTGTAAATATGCAAACTGCTGTGGTCAGTTAATGTCAAAAGTGTTTGCTTTGCAGGGGCAGTGGTAAATACCTCCCACTGACAGTTCAGCTATCGTCTGCTAAATCTGTTTAGTTTGTGTCGGCATGTAGGGGTAATGTGTCTTTGCAGCAGTACAAGGAGGTGTGATGTTTGATGTTTTGTTTCTAAGCTGACAAAACCCTCTGTGTACACATTCTGGGGTCATTGCAAATGTTACAGGCAGTGGCCATTACCTTTTTATACCTGATCATGCAGATATGAGTCATACATTTGAATGACTGATGTAGAGTATAGCCCGTAGGGTGAGTTTGCAGGTGCCGTGTTTTCAGTTATTGGAATACCAGACGTCTTGACTGAAGAACAGGGTGTACCAATCCACTTATCTCAGGCTGCCTGGATAATAAAACTGTCCGGTTGTGCTCTAGGGTCCTGTGTCAGAACCTGTGGCTGAAATCACTGAGAGACCAGATGATGACAAAAATGCATTTATTTCTGAGGAAGAATGGTGAGTAACATGTATTTTTTAAAAATCGTGCCTTGGTTCTTCATCTTTTTAAAAGGGCTGACGGTATAGTAATGTTGTAAGTATCCTGTGAAAGTATCGGGTATTTTCTGGAAGGTCCCTCCTTCTCCTCCTGTTGCCTTAGTTTACGTGAACACGGTCATTTTTCTTTTAAATATAGATGGAATCTGGCCCAATCTGAGCGTGATCTGTTGTCCAGTTTGACAGCTACAAAACCAGAGGGGCTCATCTTCTTGCAGTCAGAGTGAGATGAACTTTAATGGTGGGAAGCAATGATAGCCCTTACAGGAGCACAGTAATGGGGGATGAGGCATGCTACACTGTATTTTTCGGATCTCCAGGGGCTCAACCCTCTTTTCTTGCCAAGGTGTGATTTTGCTCACGGACCTCTCCTTCCTAGGACCAGTGAGCACCTAGAAGGGGAGTTCTGGGAGGAGGGGGAAGGCAGTGATGCGGAGGCTGCTGAGGTGCAGGAGGATGAGGAGTCGTATCCAGAGACGAGCCGCCGCGCGGGAGAAGAGGGCACCGCTGGCCAGGCCTACACGGGCAGAATAACGGAGAGGGTTGGTGTGACCTTTCTCTCTGAGTTCAGGCCCTACCCCGGTTCGGGTCTGAGGAACGTCTGCCCACCCTTGTTAACACCCCTAAGATCTGGTTGGAAGCTGCAAAGAAGCTTGTTCCCCGCTCCTGCAGCCCTTCATGTAAAGAAGCACCTCGGGGTCTCAGTTTTAAACGCACTCCCCCCTGTCCTCGGCGTCCTGTGTTTTTCATAGGATTTCTGTCGCTTGTTAGGATGTTGGGAATGAGGGAAAGACAAATTAACGGGGATGTAGACTCTCCGTAATAATGCTACAAATAGAAGACAAATGTGCTGAAGAAGTATTGTAAAGATTAGGTGCATAGCCTTAGGCCTATGGTGTTGGAAGTAAATTAATTAATAACAGGCTATTAGATACGTGCTTTTAAAAATGATGGATGACAAGTCCTCCAACCAAATTAGATATTGATTTATAAATTTGCATTGCCCTCGTCTTCAATTATAGGTGGGCGACGTTCAGTGTCCTTGGGAGTAATTATATCCGAATCTGGCAGCAAGCCATATTGCTAAGCAATCATTTATTAATTGAGGCGCGTTGGAACAGACTTAAACTAACTTCCGTCTTTCAGAGAGGTTTTTTTTTTACTTTGAAAATAAGGCCCTGGAGGAATTAAAGGTCGTGGCCGTCTGTTTTTGTCGTCAGGCGAATAAGGAGACCAGCACGGACAGCCTTGCGCAGGCGGCTTCGGTGGTCCGGCCCAAGGAGAGGCGAGCTGCAGCCCCCCAGCAGACCCCCCTCGTGAGGGGCAACACCATCATCCGCTCAAAGACCTTCTCTCCAGGAGCACAGAGCCAATACGTCTGCAGGGTACGGCGTTTTTTAACAGTCAATACAGTCAAAAGTCAATATGGAGGTTTTTAGCTATACATACTGTACATGTAGAAAAGTTTAGGCTTCCCACAATGCTGCAGTGCCTGTTCTGTAAACACCAGCCTTCCAGAGCAGAGGAATCACACCAGCGTGAGTCTCAATTCTGCTCGGTGTTTTCTCCATAAATGCTCTTGTCCGCACGCGCTGAGAATTGTCACAGCACACAAGTACACACGAGGACCTGTGTGCTCGAAATTTTTTTTTTCCTGTGTTTCTATAAGTATATTTCTAGAAGACATTCAAATAATTTGACCACGGATATTTTCCTGGATATGTTTTAAAGTTTCAGTTTAGAAATTAGCCCATAAACAGTACAGACACCACATTTTTGTTCAATGTGATTTTTGTGAAGTGAAGATATGAATTTATAACAATGGCACTTAAACTGTACTTAATTAATATTTTCCCTTCTCTTGTGAAATTGGACATGGTCATTAGCCGGATCAGATTTTTTATTTTATTAAAGAGATTTCCAAATTTGGTGGAATTAACTAATAGGCGTGAGACTTTTCCAAACATCCTCCCCTGATGTGCAGTGTTGTGAAGGCTTTGCAAAGTTTGCAAAAACCATTCTTGTCTTAAAGCTCAAATGTGTTTTTCAGATAAACCGGAGTGATAGTGACAGCTCCACCTTATCAAAGAGGTCTCCCTTTGTCCGAAACGCCTCGGAGAGACGCAGTGTTCGAGTGAAAAGGGTGAGATGTGAATTTAAATACTGCAGACAAGGCACTGTCCTAGAAGCAACTGGTGTATTGGAGCCCAGGTCCTGAAGCTCACTCAAACGTCCAAAAGCCTGTAGTGTAGATATTGCCACCCCTGGTTCTGGGGAGGTCCGGTCCCTCTCGTCTTATAGGTCACCCTGAGTCAGTCTCCCACCTTTTATCTTCAACACAGCAGTACTGGATAAGAAGTTGCTAAGCTGGTCTCATTAAGCATTGATTGAGCTTGTTAGGAGTTGAGCTGAAAAGGAAAAAATTAGGATATTAAGGGAACTTAATGCCAGTTATAAAAGTTTTGACGGAGCCAGTTCAATGGATTTCTCAGGATGAAAACCAGATCTTGACCTAGAAACATAAGTCGCAACTAGGAGAACAGGAAGCACAGCTTTACACAAAGGGTGGCGAGAGCTGGGATCAAGCTACTCAGCCATGATCCTGCAAGGATACTGAGTCAGCTCATCTGAGTAGTAAGATACTGGCAAGCAAATGATCCTGACGGTCTTAACTGTTTCCCAGAGTTTGTAACTTTTTCTTATGTTCGTAAGCTCTGCCATTACTGAAACTATGTGTTCTGAGTTGTCATGTTTCAAGAAATGGTCTTTGTGTTTGTGCTGTCTTTTATGAGCAACTCTTTAAACTAGGTCATTAGCATGGAGATATGCTCGGTTCTTTTTCTCTCTGACTTAAAAGAGCCTTTGTTCTGCGCTAGAGTGGATGACTCAGACAGAACTCACAAGTTAATTACAGCTGTTTCCCCGATCACATTTTAAACATGCCTGAAAAACTTGCAGTTTGTTTCGTTTTAGGTTTTGATCTTTTGCTTCACTTTAACGATTATGTCTCCAAAGCTTCTGTTTATTTGTGCTTTAATTAGCAATTCAAAATTCAGGTGGGTTTAAAGGCGAAATATCAGTGCAAGACTTTGTAATGCTGGAAATGACCCTCTTTCTTTTTAAAGTTCCAATTATGATATTGACAGCTAAAAACCGTTTTGCCTGAAGTTTGTTTTCGCCTCTACGTTCTTTCCCCCAGTCGCCCTGCTCATTAACCTCGGCTAACGACCTGACTTGAACTTTTGTCCCCGTGATCCTTCCCTGCACAGAGAACACATTGAAAACGTGTGCTTTGTCTACAGCTGGTGGCTGTGGGGATTTTCTGCATGTGTGCGTCAGTTTGAGGCCCACCAGCACCTGGGCTGGACAGTTTGGTGGACAGAAATAACCCAGAGAGTTCTACAAGTACCACTTTTATAAACTGACAATTTTACCAATTATTTGCATTTCTCAGAAGTTTCCTCCTCTTATGAAACAAAACCATAGGAGTGTAATAACATGAAAGTACAATTCTGTCCCATGGGTCACCAACTCTAACCCTGGCTGTAACCCTGCTCTTGGTCTTCTGGACTTCAGACCTGCTCTGAGCTACTTAACTGAACCAACATAACCTTCAGAAAGTGAATAAACACCCTTATAATTCCAGGGGGGACAGTGTCTTCTCTGGCTGCACCCCAGAGCTCTGGAATTCTGTCCTCAAGGGTATTGGAGTCGCCTATTCTGTCTTGGACACCTGCAGGCTCATTGCACCTTCATTTAAAGGTGCTATACAAATTAGTGTTATTATTGGCTGGTTTTTTTTTTTCATTTGACTTTTCCCACCTCTGTTGTTGGGTTCACAGCCGGTTCTTCAAGCTAGGGGGCTTGACGGTCTGCTCCGGACCTCCCTGGACATGGAGCTGGATCTGCAAGTGTCCAAGACCAAGCACAGCCGCCTGAACCAGGAGCTGGAGGTACTTCGGCAGCTCAAAGAGCAGCTGGAACAGGCCCGCGCCCAGGGCCGGAGTGAGCTCCCCGCCTGGGTCCAGCAGGACGAGAGGTTCAGGCTGCTGCTGAAACAGGCCGAGAAGCAGGTGAGGGGACGGGCCTTGAGGAGCAGGCAGGGAGGGGGCTGAGAAATACTCCAGCAGAGGTTTGAACTCCAGCGGGTCCACTGCATGGTCTCTTAAAAACGCCGATGACAGCGTGTAAAAGTCAGACCTCATCTATCAGAATACTGCAGATGTCTGTCTTGAGAGCTCCAGGCTGTACTGATTCGTGAAACTGAAACTCCCGCCTGTCCTGTCGTGGTCCAGACCGAGGAGGAGCAGCAGCAGGAGCTCCGCGTCGAGAGGATGATGCGGACGGCGGCGAAAGACGTGCACAGGATCCGAGGGCAGAGCTGGAAGGAGGCCCGGGAAGTGCACTCGTTCAGGTAGGTCCGCTTCCCAGCCAGCTGTGGTTTGAGCTTCTGGGGGTTCATCAGGGTTTTCCGAGTTATCAGAGTTGTCAGAATTACTGGGGTTCGTCGGGTTTTGTCAGGGTGCGTCAGCGTTCGTGAGCTTTCATCTGTCAGGGCTGCTGGACGGACAGAATTGTGAAGAACTTTATAATCCAGACGGATGCATAAAGCGCGCTCACCTGAATCCCGAATCCCACGGGTCGTTGCCAGCAGACAGGGGGAGAGGGTAAAGGAGCAGGGACACCATCGGCAGCAGACGAACTTGACAACCAAAACTAAAATGGGCGGACGTGCAACGTTAACAAGCACCTTGTGGACATCGCAGTGTTCTGTCTTCTTCCCTCTCATCCCGATTGGTGTGCAGGACTGGCGTTAGTCTCTGTCTCTGTGGTGCTATGGGTTTAAATAGCAGCAAGAGAGTGTGTAAGTGTCTGGGTTTGAACCACTTTGACAAGAGTTGTGATTAAATGTGAGTCAATGTCCTGTGTTTGTTTTTTGAGAATTAACGGCAGTTGCTGGAACCTGGATTGAAAGCAGCAGAAATTAAACTATTTCATACTCTTAATCCAGAAACGGCTCTTAATCGTGTTGATTTTTTCGACCATGAAGACCACACAGACTTCCTTGCACTGAAATGATTTAACTGTCCTACTGTCATTTTTCTGTTCAAAACTTTAATATTTAATTTTGAAAAAATAACTGCATGTAATCTTGATGGAATCTGAAGAAAAAATGTTAGCATTAACGCGTCCGGAGATTGCTCTGCAAATATGATGTTTATAAACTTGTGTTTCAGGGAGAAGATGGCCTTTTTCACACGAGCCAAGATAACGATCCCCGATCTTCCGGCAGACGATGTGTAGAGCATTTCAAGTATTTTGGATTTTGGGAAAATTAACTGCTGTATTTAACTGAGATGAGACTGATATCTGGTGGTATTATGAAGAAAACTGTATGTACCCAAGGAAACATTCACATTTTTAATGTACAGATTTGTAGGAATGTGAGTTGCTCATCTGTATAGTTTTTTTGATGCACACAGAAGAACAAACAGATTCTTTTTTCTGTTATTAATTAATTGGTGAGAGATTGAAACCTTGTTTTAACATTGTTAAGATACAAACCAGTGGATTTTATTTTAGTTCTTTAAGAAAGGAATGTTTGTGGTTTTGGCAAAAAAAAAACCTAATTCATTTAGTTACCATTTGCATGACATAAAACTCAATACAGGTATCATTTTAACTTAAAGTATGTAGCGGGGCCTTTTCTATGTGACAGTTTTATGGCTACCCAATGAAACATAAAAGTTAAATATTAATTTATGTTATAAATTATAATATTATAGTTTCCATCTTTTTTTTTATCCTGTTGCTTTCCCCCGCCCCAACCAAACACTTCTGTTCTATTACGCACTTTTAAATTATTTATTAGAAATTAGCTGCTGCTTCTGTGCTGAATACCAGGAGTCAAGATTGTGGCAGTTGTCGGTGATGTCTCTTCTGCTCTGGCCTGTATTGTCTGGGAGTGAGCACAGGTACGGTGCCTGTGGAACATCTGCACTCTCTTTCCGAAGTAACACATTCTGTGGCCTAACAGCCTGAAATCAGAACACATTCAATCAGAATATGTTTAGCTTTTACTTACATTTTAAAACGCACGCCCCCCAAGTAAAAAAAAAAAACATGCTCAGACCAGCTTTCATTTTTTAAATCACTAGTCAGGAGGTTTGAGGCTTTATAAAATACATTTTGATTGAATGTGTTTTGATATCGGGCTGTTTGGCTGTGTAGACTTTCTGTAGGCACGGCCGATAATCTTCAGTGGCACTGGTGTCCCGAACAGAAGTGACTCCAGGCATCGAGCTGCAGGGCACTCTCGATCATAGCTTTCAAGGAAGGCGCAGAAACATTTCAACAAGTTCGTCCAGCCTGTTTCAGACTGAAGAAAGGAGCCGTTTCTTTGCAGAAAGGGTTGCGAGTGCTCGGACCCATCCCAGCTGTTGAAGCAGATGCTTTTGACGCTCCCAGGAAAAGATGAGATGAGACCCTTTGATCAATGAGCAACTAGCAAACCGATGTCAAACAAGTAAGGTGTGGCACATGAGTCTGTAAGAAGAGGTGCAAGCAGTAGGAATCCATTCGCCACCTCTGGCCTGTTTGGTAGTAAGTTGCTAATTGGCCTCAGGACCTCATCCAGCTGTTTCCTGAAAGAAGCCAAGGTACCGGCTTCAACAACACAGCTGGGTAGCTTGTTCCAACCTCCCACAGCCCTTTGTGTTAAAGTACTGCCTCCTGCTTGTCATCTGAAATGCACTTCCCCTTGGTTTCTACTTGTCCTCTGGTTTGGATTTCACCTCTGACTCTAAAGGAGTCTATTACAATGACTTCGCTAATGCCTGTGAGGAATTTGGGTTCTCAGATGAGTTCCCTTCGTTGTCTGTTCAGGGTTAAACAATAGGTTCTTTTCACCTGTGTGAGGACAGTTCTGTAAGGAATAGGGGGCTGCTCCAGGGTACTCTTCCTCTCTGTGAAAACGATGCACAATATTGTGAATATGATCATGCTCGTGCATTTGACCATTTTAAGATAACATTAAATTCTACATTTTTAGCTATGTAAAAGTTCCAGATTTCTGTTGGCATGTTTCATTGCCCCCCTGCAGTGTGCAGGACTGGACTGATCTTCAAGCTCAGTGTTTTCCTTCCCGCAGTCGGTTTCTCCTGCTTGCGTTAGGAAAACTTAAATTTTACAAGCTAAAGAAATAAACACCTGGAAATGAATATCAGTCTTACTGTTTCAGCTCTTCCCTTGCCCATGGGGTAAGAGGTAAGTGGGTTCATGTTTGAATTTTCCTAAGAAACGCTTGCCCTGTGTGGGAATGAATCGCACTCTGCTCCTGCTCGTGGCTCTTAAGAGACGATCCGAGATGCACAAAAACGTTACCAGCACACGGTAGTGAAAATAAATCATATCTTTGTCAGTCCTACACTTTTTTTTAAAATGTACAGATCATCATTAAAACTCAGGTAATGTAAAGTAACATTCAAGCACTTTTCTAAAAAAATGGCTCAGCTTAGCCCTTTAAAAATTGTCTTCACACGTTTGGACCCTTAAGAAAGCAATTTGTTTTAAGTTTTCACTGGTAAAAATTAAAAAAAAGCAGAGAGAACTGCACTTTCATTTGATGCCCTTCACCAGTTCAAGGCTGCATCTTTGTGTGTCATACTAATAGAAAGCACAATTCCCTTGAGAGGAAACTTAACGTTTCCGCTCCAGCCTGACACCATTAACATCATTTACACTAAACTTTACCTGAACGTGTGGATTGCTAAGGAGACTGTGGGATTGTAACGCTATAAGCAGTTCTTAATTGGCAGTTTTTAAAGCAGGTTTATATGTGCTCTCAGATAGTTACTCAGGTAAAATACTTATCCGAGTCATGTTGACCCTTCTAGCCAATGAAGTCTCTCTCTGACATGGCCTAGAGAGGGTGGCTGATCTAGTAGCTAAGAAAAATATTAAAGTTTCTCCATACAAGTCCTAAGCTTCCTAACCTCTTCATTGCTTAACCTGTAAAACTGGTGCTGCTGTATCTGCTGATGCCTAGTTGTGCCCCCAGAGTTTGTAAGTTACCTTTGGATGAAGTATCTGCTGAATTAGTGTTTGGCAGCCAGGTTACGTGATGAACCGCTCTGCTGCCTCACATCCCTAGGATCCCCAATTTCAGTTTTGGAGTATGGCTCTCCAGGTGCTCTAATTTTCTTCCTACCTCCCAAAGACATGCTGGCTATGTGATTCGGACTGTCCGGATCAAGTCCATCACAGTCCGCAGCTCGTGTGTTCTGTCCCAGGTGCAGTCCTGTCTTGTGCTCTCTATTTCTGGGTTCGGCTCTGGGTCGCTATGAGCTAGTGGCCTTCAAATAATGGATAGATGGGATATTATTAATAATATTGACTTAAATGTTGTTTAATCCCCGTGAGCTTCTAACTGAGAAATGGCTACTGGTGTGTTTTAGGTTTCGGGCGTGTCTGCATGATGATTGGATCTTTATAATTCAGCTGAAGCTCCTTCTTTGGGCTGTCGCACTTATAATCCAGTCTTTGTCTAGTGGTGCTTTACATGAACTTCACTTCGCTGCCCTAATTATCCATATCTATCTAATGCTATGGTAATATGAATGAAATATGTATCTAGATCAATTGCATGGGAATTAATATAGGACACGAAACTAGGGCAAACTACATGTAGATGGCAGCGAGCGGTGCAAAACGGTCAACTCTCTTTCAGAAACATTCGATTGGGCATGACTTGCTCTCTGATTCCGAAGTCGAAAACCGGCAGCTGAGTACAACTGTTTTGGTTTTTAACCTTTGTATTTTGAAGGGGTATTTAAATGCACAGCGCTCGGTTTTCTCTGAATCCCATTGTGGTCGAGAACGTGTTTTGTCGTGCAAAAACAATCCTTAAAAAATTACCATCTAGGTAAAGTATATGGCATTTCGAAAAGGTTTTTTTTTTGTTTGCAAGTTAATACCTGTGTGAAAGGGTTTTCATTAAGTCAGGCATTGTTATCTGATTTGTGCTTAATTTCCTCATGGGTACAAATCTAAATGTATTTATTTGACTCTCCAGATTTGGAACACATCCTTTGTGCCAAGCATTTGTAAATGAAGTGGCAGAAATTCACCTTTTCCGTCATGTCTGTGCTTGAAATGTCACCATCTTTAAAAGCACTGAAAGCAATTCCTCCCTTTATATGCTCCTGCAAGGTAGTTTACCTAGCAGGTTTGGACTAATGTTTATTTCATCACTTTTTTTTCCACCGTTGAAACAGGATGCCCTTCTAAGTACGAGCACACTCAAGCCCTTAGGCTCCTCCTGGGATCTGTTGTTGCCACAGTGTGAAATCCCAAAACAGTTTGCTGGACAAGAGCCAAGCTGTCACAGATGTAAAGAGTTGCTTTAGGTCAATATTCTAGGACACTGGTGTGGATAATTAACATGTCTTAAATCCCCTTTTGGCACATCATGTAGAAAAATGAATATGTAAGTCGTGTTTCTGAATTGTTCTCTTAATTATCCAGTATTCTCCATAGTTATGCCAGTTACTTCAGTTGCCAGGCAACTATGTCTTCAGAGGCTCGGGATGGTTTTGTTCTTTCAAGCCTGTTCCCTGTGTAAGCTCTGTCATGTTTCTCTCTCTCTCTACAGCTTATTAAATTTCCAGATCTTTCAAGGATGCTTTCCTCTGTGTGTAGGTGTCATCTCAGAGCCTTTCTCTGTGGAATGTTCTGTGTTTCTGAATGCAGGGGTCTTTTTTGTCACTCTGCTGAAAGGTTTGTGTGCTGGGGAAAAAGAGGCTTTGTGTTCAGTGACCTCGTACCTTTGACCTGGTGTTTCTGGAGTGGATTCTGTGCCCCTGCTGTCCATTTTCAGCCCCCCTCTATTTCCGCTGTGCCCCCACACCTGTTGGCTGCAGTTCTGGGGGAACGAATCTCTCGTGTATTTCTATTCATTTACAAAATTGTGAACCATCTCTCCGTTCTGATTTTTTTTAAATTGATGTGCAAACGGTAAACTCTGCCACTGCACTACATTGAGCAGCTCATTGTTTTTAGTTAAAATCATGTCTTTTATCTCTGCACTTTAGCAACAGCATCTGTCTGTGCAGCTAATTGTCTCTCATTGTGCAAGTGCTCATAACAAATGTTGAATGTTTGGTACAAGAGTATCTTCCTTTTGTTTAGCAAGTTCCTCAGGATTCATTTTTTTAATCAGTGTAATCTGAACCTGGTTTGTGGTTTTAAAATGTATCATCTGCGAAAAATAAGCTCTTTAGGAGCTGAGGTAAAACTAGTCAGGCACTTTGTGACAGCACCTACCGTGTCATTGAAATATTTTTTTATTGGTCTCTGTTTCGGGAGTGTGTTTGTGAAATTTAAACTAAAAATTGTTGTAATAAAAAGCTACCATGTGTCAGAAATAAAGAGTTTGTACAGAGACCTGCTTGTAAAATGAATGACGCATACCTGTTTACACTGATAAGAAATTTCAAAAGAGACTTTCATAGTTAAACATGAAACAATATCAGCTAGTTTTGTATTCTTTGTCATTGATAAAAATATAGAGGAAGTCTTACATTAGGACTTTGCTGTATTTTAGGAGAACAGATCATATGGGTATCAGATCTTTAGTCTTACTAAATTAATAGGTACTGTAAGTACTAAAATTAGAATCAGCCTTTTATCAGCTAATGGCACACGGTACATTTGTTCATTGCTGACCAAGTAAAGATATTTATTTATATTGAGAATGTGTGTTGCTAGTCCTAAGTGGTCAGAGGTCACTCTTGTTAACACAAACAATAACTTGCTTTTGTGCATGGATGTAATTTAATACTTGTTTGCTGTTTTTGAGGTTATTATACATTGTCTTCTTCATTTTCCCTTTGGTTTTCTTTTTTGTTGCAACCTGTTATGATGAAAGTCTGTTGCACACAAGGTGGTAGGAGACAGGGACTTTCCTGTAGCTGTCGTGTGAGAGACAGTGTGTATTTATTGCACTTTGCTATCTGGGCTCCTGGTCTGTTATTTTCTTTTTTGTAGACTTCTGAAAGCTGTGAATTTAAAAATTGGATTCTGTGCATCAACCAGCATTGTACATATTCACCAGCACTAAACATGTTTTGTAGTTTCAAAGCAAATATATATATATAAAGTGTTTTTTCTTGTACACTGTGTGCTGTCTTCATTTCCCGTTCTTTAACACAAAAGGCGTAATGCAAAGTCCTTGTACAATCTCTCGTACCAAAAAACATAGTAGAAGCCAAAGATAGAAAAGGATCTTCTCGCAACTGTTAAAAAGTGCATGAACTGAAAAAAGTAATACAACCATAAAAATGAAAAAAAAAACTTTAATGATTAAATTACAGTAAGTAAAGACCTTTAAATATAACCACTGTGGGTAAGATGATATGACAGCTTTACAAGTCATAACTTCTGTCTCTTGTGCTTGAAAGTTAAGGAAAATATTAGTTGAAGTGATTTTAAATCATGATTGTTCTGTAGCTTTTCGACCATAATTAGCAGGATCCTGAACTGCATTTCCACTGCTGCAGCAATATTCACTACTAGACCTGCAGAGTCAGTGTCTTCTGGTTTTCATTTGACCAGAGTGACTTATTTCAATGAATTATTGACCTGGGGCTATAGTTCTCCGGGGCTGAGGGTAACTCCTGTAATGAGTTAGATACAGAGGTAAGGGTAGAGGTCAAGCTATGTAGTCCAGGGTAGCACGGTGGTGCAGTGATTAGTATCACTGCATTGCAGAACTGGTGTCCTGGGTTCAATTCTTGGGATGCCATGGAGTTTGTGTGTTCTTAATATGTTGGCATGGGTGTCCTCTGGGTGCTCCAGTTTCCTCCCACAATCTTGAGTGGTAGGTTAATCAACTTCTGGGAAAATTGGCCCTGGTGTGTGTGTCTGCCCTGTGCAGTGGACCGGCATCCAGTCCAGGGTGTGCGTCTGCCCTGTGCAGTGGACCGGCATCCAGTCCAGGGTGTGCGTCTGCCCTGT